GTTATTGCTCTGAAAAATACTCATCACTTATATAATACATATTAACATTACAGATAAAAGCAACAATGAAAACATGTAACATTWATTTCTTATTTAGAGTGTTTTATCTGGTTTAAAATCAGATAAACAGCAAGAATTATAAGGTGTTGATTTCATTTTACTATTTCATTCCGAGGAAGATGAGATATAAAAAAACAACACCGTGAAACAAAAGTGCAGTGATGTCAAAGACAAATTAAAGAAAGTTTCTGTGTACTAATCCTGAAGCAGTAACCTCAGTATAAAGCTCAGAGTCCCAGCTCACCTTCCTGCACGTCACAACCCAACAGTTTATTTCCAGCTTCCACACACTCAGGTATCCACACAGCTGAGGAACAGAAACACAACGAGTAAATCAAAACGAGCACAAAGAGCTGCACGTGTGGCTAAAAATAACTCTCTAGCAGCTATTGTTATTTCCTTACCTCTCTTACCACAGAGCCAGGATGCTGCTTTCATTGCGAGAAGCTCCCACTCCACCTTTGCATCCATTTTAAACCCATGAAGCCAGATCAGAGCCAAAATGGTGGCCCACACCTCCTTTTTGCTCTAATTCAACAAGATAAAAGTGGGGAAAAAACTAGTAAAATTAGAACATTTAAAGTTGCTTTGAAATACCATTTCTCCGTTGCTGCGGCTCAAACTTATTTAACGTTTCATGTGACAACAACCTACCGACGCAGGCTTTGTTTTGACCACCTCCTCTGTGTTTTTTCCCAGAGCAGTAGCTAAAGCTGGGCAGAGCAACCAGCAGCCTGAAGCCTCCTGCAGGGACACCAGCTGCAGCAGAGGGTCTCTGGGCGGCTTCGTGGACTCCATCGCTGCATTCAGTGGAAGTTTTAGGAGAGAAAAATATTAATTTTCAATGTCAATATTTGTAGAGGAGATCAGAAGTTTACATCCACTCATCAGGTCGTGTAGTAGCTTTAAATAGATTGCTCTTTTAACAAGGTGCAATAATTAGAGAACATACTCAAATAGGAGCGCAAATTAGGATTTACAGTGGGGTGCAAAAGTTTGGGCAGCCTTGTTAATTCTCCTGATTTACTTTTAAAAAAACATTGATTGTTTGGATAAAAATATCAGTAAAATATATCATATAGGGACAAACACAGTGATATTTGAGAAGTGAAATGAAGTTTAAATGTTTTACATAAAGTGTGCAATAATTGGTTAAACAAAATTAGGCAGGTGCATAAATTTGGGCACTGTTGTTTTTTTTATTGATTTTAAAACCTTTAGAAATAATTATTGGAACTTAAATTTGGTTTGGTAAGTTCAGTGACCCTTGACCTCCATATACAGGTGACTCCAGTTATGAGAAAGGGTATTTAAGGG